TCGCCGCCAGGGTCTGCGTGGGTCCGGGTCCCCTAGGGGGGTCGTGGGGCGCCGCAGGCATCTCCCTCCACCCAGGCCACCGCCTCCCGCCCGCAGGGACGTGGTTGCTGTCTCGAGGAACATGCAGAAGGAGAGGCTCAGTCTCGTGCGGCAGCTGGCGCTCCTCAGGTTCGGTCTGGCTCAGCCCTGGAGGGCAGGGGCTCAGTCCCAAACATCCCTGACCACTGCCCGGCTTACTGCCGGGAAGGCCTTCCTTGTACCTGCCCTCTCTCCCTCCCGCTGCAGCCCCTGCCTGGTCTGAGGGAGAGCCCGGGCCCACACTCCCCGCCCTAAAATTCTGCCTCCTGAGACCTCTCAGAGTCCCTGGACTCCCTTCCCCAGGGAGCTGAACACGCGGCTACGAGACGAGAGGGACGCCTGTGAGACCAAGCAGCTGGGCAGTGGCCCCAGGAAGGCTCTGGCCGCGGCCTGCCTGCCGGGGCCCACCTGCTGCTGTTGCTGCTGCTGCAGCAGCTGGGCTCGACCCTCCAGATGTGGCTCAGGCCACCTTCCCAGTGCCCGGTGACCAGCCAGCCCTGGTGACTCACGGGGCGTGCCCTGAAGAAACTGCCCTTTGAAAGTGACTCATCGTGGCTGGGGCTGCTGGTCCAGGACCTGGGCTCTACCCAGTGGGCTGCCTGGCCTGCCTGCCTGTGGACATGAAGGAACTAACGGGGAGGGGGGTGTCAGGATCCCCTGTGCCCCCCTCCGGTCCTCATCCTGTCCCCACCCCCCATCAAACCCATCTCTGTCCAGCACTCCAAATAAACTCGACCAACCAAACTGCGGCCTCCTGGACCTCCTGTGTATGGGGGGCCACAGGCATCGCGCGTCCGGGTCCAAGTGTGGCACAGGTCCGAGTCGGGGCTGTGGGTCCTTGTTTGTGTCTGTGCATCTCTGTCCAGCACTCCAAATAAACTCGACCAACCACACTGCGGCCTCCTGGACCTCCTGTGTGTGGGGGGCCACAGGCATCGCGCGTCCCGGTCCAAGTGTGGCACAGGCCACCACCCTCCGAGTCGGGGCTGTGGGTCCTTGTTTGTGTCTGTAGGCGTCCCTGCATCTCTTGTCAGACCCCAAGCCCTCTCAGCCCATAAAAGCTTGAAGTCCCATGGGCCTCTCTGTAGGAACAAGGTGACCAGGGCCCACAGGCTCACAGGGAGCCCTGGGTGGGGTTTCCTCCCAATCCAGACCCAGTTGACCATCTCTTGGCCATGCCACCCTCACGCAGCTCCGGGCAACCCCCCGGGGTCGGGCCAGTCCTGCATGGAGCCTCCTGGGGTAGGCCTGGAGCCACCTCCCATGCCCAGGTCCTGCCTGGGGAGCTGGGAGCTGCCCGCTGAGCCCAGGGCAGGTTGGGGAGTGCTGCCCACTGTCCCTGGAGAGCTGCCCCAACTGATTGTGGGGACTCAAACCCCACCTGGGTTGGGAGTCTTCCCCCCTTATACCCCCCCCCACACACACACACTCAGCCTCCCAGTCTAGTTGGTCCACAGGACTTTCTTTTTTTTTAAAATATTTTTATTGATTTTTTTTTTTACAGAGAGGAAGGGAGAGGGATAGAGAGTTAGACACATCCATGAGAGAGAAACATCGATCAGCTGCCTTCTGCACACCCCCCACCGGGGATGTGCCCACAACCAAGGTACATGCCCTTGACCGGAATCGAACCCGGGACCCTTCAGTTCGCAGGCCGACGCTCCATCCTCTGAGCCACACCGGTTAGGGCCGCAGGACTTTCTCAAGCCCTCCTGACGGGAGTGTCTCTCACAGGGACCCTAGGCCTCCGAACGCCAGGCCAGCATCTGTCCTGCTGTCCCCTGTGGCCTCTGGATGGACCTGGATTGGGAGGAGAGAAAGAAGAATTGGGCCTGGAGGACAGCAGGGTCTTGGACAGAGTCCAGGCCTTGGCTGGGCTGGCTGCCTCCCCCACCTCTCCCGCCCTAGCTCAGTGTCTCCGTCTCCTGAGGGCCTGGGCCCTGGCCAGGCTGTGGAGGCCTCCGGGCTGCAGCTCGCCCGGCCTCCACAGCCCCGTTAGAGACCCTCTCCAGGCGCCGGCACCGGCTGG